GGACGACACTTGCTAGGCTGAGCCTGTAAGGTCAAGTCAACCCTGCGCAAAGCTCTCTAAGTACCCTCTGCCTCCAGGATCCATTCTCCAAGCCCATCTGGAGTCCTCTAGAATTTCCAGATGCTCAGCGCCTTTCTGAAGAGCCTCAATAAGTGCTTCAGCATCCAGAAGCTACCCCCATGCCCCCCCATCTCCATCCCAGTGCTGGGGACGGAGCCGCAGTGCAGGATATCTCCCCTCCAAAGCGCAATCGGGAAGTGGAGTAGATTTATCTGCCATTTGCTTTCCATCCCCAGAGCCCGCCAGCCCGTAAACACGCGTTCCCCTCGCCCCGGGACGTGTCAGATGTTGTGACTACAGCCCGCACCAGCTGCCTGACTTGCTCCTCCTCTTCTTCGCACAATAAGAGACGTTTCTTATGTGCAAGAATCCAGGAAGTCTCCTGCAGGGAACACTGTGATTTACAGTGTGATGCCCCGAGCGGGGCATTAGTTGTTGGCAGTTTTTTCTACTGCTGAGAACAAGCAAACGCAGCTGCTGTTCGGCAGCTTTTACAGACAGGTACGAGTGGGATCCTCTCTCCTTCGTCCCCATGGGAATGTCCTCCTGGGCATCGATTATGACTGGGGAGAAGCCACTGGAGGTGACCAGCAGTCGCCGGTCTCCCGGTATAAGACACCATGGAGACAAGACTGGATTGCCAAGACACAAGACGTGTGAAGTTCCTAATTTCTCCAACCCAGGATCAGCTACCAGAAGGCCGGGAACAGCCAGACTACAGCCATTCTTCTCAGTATCGTTTCCATCCAAGGAACACCTAAACCCTTTGAAAAATATCCACAGCTCACTGCCTGCAACCAAATAAACATCCAGCTGAGCTCTGCCTGCCTGCCTGGTACTCTCACCTTCTTTGCCTGCAGCCCAGGGAGGCCGTGCACGTCTATATACACGATTCTGGCTTTCTGAACCAGTACCAGGCTCCATATCCGATTATCTCCTGGCCAACACCACCCTGTTGTCTACAGAACGGGGAGATGACTGAGTTATCACCCAGCGACGGCGCTTTCCAAGGCAGCAAGTATGAAAAAGAGGCTTGAAGACAACTAGAGAAGATAAATACATTTGGCCTGTCAGCATAACGAAGCAGGATCCAGGACAAGCCGTGGGAGGAAGAACTAGACAGTAGCTGAGGGAGTGGGAAGATAAGAATCAGACTTTTTGTACTGCCAAAGGCACCCTGGTATCAACCTGCATCAGTGGTAACAGCTTCTCAGTTCCCCCATCTGTAAGGCAGGGTAACACCACTTCCCTCTATCACATCAGAACTGTGAAGAGCTCAAATATTACTGCAATGAAAGCGACGTCTCCATGGGATCTGTCCACACAGACACTCGGGAAAGGTAATCTGAATTAAAGGCAAGGCAGGATTCCTTTAAACTTCACAACCACCCTGTTAATGACTTGGGATTAAAGCAGTCATCACACTTTCAGGTGAAAATGGCCCCACAGAGGAGGTTTAATGCATGTTAATTAATTCCTCTGGGAAACTAAAAAAAAAGTGAATTTGGGCTTAACACACCCCGGGCCACCAGCTTGAGCAGAAAGAGATAGGGATGGACAAACCTTAAACGTGACACAAACCAGGAGCTGCCTGGAACTGGAAGACACATGTCCATGAGGCTTCTAAGATCCCAGTCGCACAAAAAGAGCAATCTTGGAAATGAAAACTAAGGATCAGGCTTTTTTGAGCGCTCGGTATGCTGGATTTTGCCTACATGATTCATTCATTAGTCGCCGCAGGGCTGGAACAGAACCCAGGCTGCCGAGCCTCCGCGTTGTGCCTGAACCGCAGGGCTATTCCTGACGGTTGACTCGCTTCCTTCTCCTGTCAGCACCTTGCCAAAATAACAGCAAAGGGGAAGTGGCAGTGGGTCATCTCTCTCTTGTGGATCGCCGGGAGGGAAGAACAACTCCTGGAATCATCCCATTCTTTCCTTAACTCCAGGTGACTGAGTCACTCCTGACTCCCAGCTCCCACGCAACAACCCTGTGTCCCACTGGGGTCGGCTGCGCAGTTTTACCTTCCCGTGGCGCTCAAGCTGCCGGCGAGGGCAGACGGACAAAACGCCGCCAATGACACACGGAGAGACGGACAGGCACCTTCCACGGGCTTGCAAAGGTCATCAGTAAGCATACGTGTTCATTCATGCTTTACATGCAGGCATGCACACTTGTTAAGGCAAATAAGGGTGCACGGTGTCAGGTTATCCGGAGAACTCGGAGCCACCTCTAACGAGGACCGTGCGCTTTGAAGTGCTCGTCACCCAGTGTGACGCTGGGCAGAGTGTTTCACCTCCCAGGAGTTCAGCATTCAGCATGCTGAGCTGCCAACATCTCTGGGCTAGGGGAGCACGAGACAGTTGCACCGCTAACAACATCGGAAAATCAGGAGGGTGCTTTTGTTTAACTACTGGTGCAAACCGACAACAAAAAAAACCCAGGACTCTGTTTTGGGGGAAAAAAATAAAGAAATCTTACGATGCTTCAAGTTTCCTGCTCGTTAACCAGGCAATTTTCCAAGAAAAATGAATTTGCCTTGGTGGGAAAAAATGAGCAGTTGTAAGTAATTCAGTGTTGGCACGTTTGGAAGTTGAAAACAGTGGGATTTTGTTGCATTCATGACAAAGCCAAAGGGGAAGGGCAGAAAGTAACTCAAAACAGAAACGGGAGATGAAAATGAAGAGCGTGAGGTATCTCTCATTTAAAAAGAAACCCAGAAAACAAACCCCCAACACAAACTTGTCACTCATTTTGAGCAAACAAAAACTCACGGTAGTTTTGTACAGCTTCAGTCTGCAAAAAGACAACAGATTTCTGCAGGAAAGGACTTAACATTCCTGCACTTTTCCAGCACGTGTCCAGGGACACATGTTATCCTACGGACACACCAGCAGATGTGCTTTTACGGGATTGCAAGCCAGCACTTCATTAAGGCAAACACAAGCACCCCCCGCCTTGGGGAAAACGCCACTGTCCCTCTCTCCTAGCCCCTGGCTCTCACACGCACGGGATGGGAGCAAGCAGGGGGGGTGGCTGGAGAACTAGGGATGCAGTTGTCTCGACTCTTCCAGGGAGACCCCTTTGGAAGTCCAAACTCACATACCTTCTGATTCACGTACCTGCCCGGCTGCTTTCCGACTGATTTAAGAGCGGGTTGATTGATAGCCCAGAGGCGAGGGGGCTTCCGAAGATATGCGAGGAAGGGAGGCTGAATGTTGAACCTGCCAGCGAGAACACCTACACAGCAAAACGGGGAGGGAGAGAAATGGTTTCTCCAAAACACAAGAGGAAAACAACTTCATTATTCCATCTCTTCCTGACTCCTGAACCCAGCTTGCTCATGAGAGAGAGTGTTAAAAATATCTCCTTGGAAGTCTCACTAGACAGTTGAAATCTTCCCAGCCCCGTCTCAGAGCCAAGAGGTCTGAATGAGCCGTGTTAACACCGAGGCTGTAAAACTAACTCTCTCCTCCCTGTAAAACACCTCTCGGAGCGAGCTCCCAACAAAGGAGAAGGCTCTGTGTCCTGGCACACGCACAGCCCACCCAGCTGGGACGTGCGAGCCCTCCCACCACGTTATCTGTGCTGCAGAGTGAAGGTAGGGCTGGCACTGGTGGCAGGATCCAGCCAAGCCGCAGGGAACAGGCAGCACGGGACACAACACACGCCAACAGCCAGGCCTCTGCTACCTGAGCGCTGGCCGTGCTCCCCTTACACTCCTTTTAGGTTGTAATTCCTCCCACCCCGGAGCAGGCTGTGACACAAAACCGCCAGCGTCTTTCTACTGACTCTAAGGGAGCTGCAGTTGGCAGCTCCGAGCCGAGCCGAAGGATTCCCAAATGGAAAAAGCAACTCTGTGCCCACACACTGGCCCCGCGCTGCCAGCGACTGCTCTGTCTGACGCTCTCCTGAGCTACAGTCCCTCTCCTGGTCCTGACGTTCTTACCTGCGTGGTGGAGACCGAGGAGGAGGAAGCTGGGATGGTGCTAGCAAAGGGCGAGCGGTTGAGCTGAGGGAGAGACGAAGTGCCCTGGTGTGCCAGCAGACTGGAAGAGAGGGGTGTACTGCACACAGCTCGGAGCACTCCGCCCCCGTGGGAAATAGGGTCCTTGTTACTGGTGTAGATCCCTGCAAGGGGAGGAGACGTGTTAGAGAGCCACGTTCCCCCCTCCACGGCCTGGGAGCAGCTGGTTTTCTCCAGGGCTTGATCTCAGAAAGGGAGGGTGGCACCGATGCACAAGACCAAGTGTAATGGGCGCTTTCAGCACCTCACGGCCTGGAACGCCGCGAGGGTGGCCACAACCCACAACCCTTCCATCAAAAGGTACAACAAACATTTCCAGCCTTGCCCCTGCCCCTCTCTCGTTTGCTCCTCGCATCCTGATACAATCCGACAGACGCAGCATAAAGCGACCCACCGATGGCCCAAGTCGGTGGCAGAAGGGGGTGCTAGTCAAGAGACCTGGCTCTTGCTGAGCTAACCTGTCCCCTTCCGTGATGCTCAGGAAGCTTGGTGGGGCATGGACGGATAAATGGGGAAGAAAGGGTGAGGAGAGAGGTGCTGCTGAAGGACGGAGCCGTCTGACTTCCCCTGGGCTCCGGCACGCAGCAGAGGCAGTGCCCAAAGCCAGGTCCTTCAGAGCCCTGCCAGCATCTCTCCGAAAAAAAATGGGAGAAGGAACAGGCAGGAGAGCGGAGCCTGGCAGCCTCCTCCTCTTTGAAACATCCTTCTGTTATTCCAGGGGGGAAGGTAAAAAAATAAAATAAATGGGCCTGAGGTTATGATTATGGGAGTTGCATCAATTCTTGCAGCTCCTCTCCCCTCTCAGGCAGCGCAGACAAATGGGCCAGAGCTCCCAGGGAGCACAACAAAATTGTACCTCCCCCCCCCTTGCAATCTGACCTAAATTGGAGCATCTGCAAACAAGGCACAATAGACCAATGACAAGTTCTGCTGCCAGAACAGTGTCAAACCTCAGCCCTGAGCAGCAGGCCCCTCCTCTGCCTGCTGCCTTAACCCCTTCCTGCCACACGTCCTGGCTGCCCTCATCCCTGCCAGCCCAGGGAAGGGGACTCAGGCTGGGAATAGCTGCCAGCTTCTCAGCAGAGTTAACAGTGTGCCAGTCTGCCAACCCTACGTGGATGTGGTAAAACCAGGATGAGAGGTTTTGCTTTTAAAAGAGGGGTTAAACTTGAACCACTTGTGAGAGTCCCTCATTTGGGGTCAGATTGTGGTTGTTCTGGTTTGGCCTGTGAATATCCCTCTCCATCGCTTTGGAAATTCAGCTCTGGCTAGCAGAGGTTTTCCAACATTTGAGCAAAACGGGGTTGGAATGCCCCCCACAGCTCAGATGTGCAGCCCAGCTCCACCGATACAGAAGCTGACCTGGAAGACACTCTAGGCAGAAGGCCAAGATGGAAAGGGGAGATCCAGGTGTGGATTTTCATAGCTCCTGGGACTGGAATCTGTGCAGACAGGTCCAGACACCAGTCGAATGGGATGAAGGCGACAGGGGCTGGGAGGAACTGTGCACACCTGGAGCCCTACGGGGGAACATACCTGATCCCAGCAGCGGGGACTCCATGCTGAGGCTGGGCAGATTCCCCGTGTGGCTGAAGGACCGTGAAGAGTTGCCAATGCTGGAGCTAACAAGGGAGCCCCCGGAGAAGGGTGATGAGGAAGTAGATGTGGACCCAGCCAGCTGGGCACCCAAAATCTCTTTGCTTTTGCCTCCTTTTGGCCTGCCAGGCCCATGCTTGTTCTTCTTGCTACCTTTGTGCTTCTTTTCTTTCAGCACCTCTCCCTCCTCCACGCTGAGGGACGGCATACGCTTGTGGCTGCTGCTGCTACTGCTGGTCCCGCTGGTCCCCACCGAAGGGCCGCTGACAGGGTTCGAGGCTTTATAGTCCACGGGGGAAGCATCGCGGCCTCTCTGCTGGCTCACCGTGGAAGTGGAGAAGCGCATGATGGACCCAAAGCCTGAGAAGATCACCTTCTGCTCAAAGATGTCTCCCTTCTGGCCTTCATACAGAGGGGAGCAGTGGGAAGAAGAGGAGGAAGAAACAGGCTTCCGGTACTTCTCGTCGTCCTGCTCAAGCTTGGGGAATGTCACAAAGTCCTGGGAGCACTGCAAGTTGCTGCAGGAGGTACCTGGGGGAAGAAGGTAGAGGGAAGGCTCATGGTAGCAATAATTCAGCCCATAAGGCAACAGGAGCACAGTCACAATGCAGGTTCACTGGCACAGGCTAGTTACTGAGCTGAAGGACACCGCTGTCACCTCCCAGCCCTGCTTTGATGCTCTCCAGCAAGCAGGAGAGGTGCACACCACCAGCTTCATCCCATCCAAACGTGCACGGGTCTGCTGCCCCCAGCCCTGCATCACCGCTGTCCCTCCGGCCCCGATAAGGGTTCCAGGAGATCAAACATGCTACCCATTACCACAACAGCTCAAAACCAAGAACTAAGCGAGGTCAGAGCAGATGGGAGCCCTGCAAAGCTTTGGCTCAAAGCTCAGGGGAGACTGACTATCAGGTTTTGGCTCAGGTCTCTCCCCTAGTACTCCTTAAAACCCTGCTGCAGACAGTACCACCTACGGAGAAGAGGGCAGGTGCTGCCCATATTGCCTGTGCACAGTATCCCTTCCCTCCTCCCTCCTGCAGACATCTGGATCTGTTTTTCCTTGCAGTGCCGCAGGCCTGCACGGAAGGGGAGCTGTAACACTCATCTGACTCCCTTCTTCCCTCCGTGCATGGAATTAGTAGCCATAAGACTTCTCCCTTTCTCCTCAAGGGGTTAAAGAAATAGCCACCGGCAAAGTTTCACTGGGTATCTTTACAGATACAGAGCTATCAGAGAGGAGCAAAGCAAAACATCTCCCCTCCTTCACCCCTTACCTGCAGGCTGGAAGGTCCCGCTGGACGAAGCTGAGCTGAAGCCAACCAAGCTTTTCCCACTTCCTGTCTTTTTCCCTTTGTGGCTGCTGCCATGGCTCGAGGACTTCTTGCCTTTCACCTCCGACCTGCCGACCTCCGAGGTCTCTTTGCTCCCCTCATGGTGGCTGGTGGAGCCCTGGCAGCAGAGAACACAGGCATCACTCACTCAGGCCAGATGTGACCACAGCAGGGGCTCTTTTTACCAATTTCCCCTTAAGGGAAGTAATTGCCCCCTCTGCCCACAAAGTGATGGGCAGGTCACGTTACTCAGGAGAGAAAAGCAACCATTCCCCTTTCCCGCTGCTTGGTGGCACCAGGCTTTATACTCCTGGGGATTACGCTCATCCCATCTAACTGCAGGAAATTAAACAGGGCACTGGCAATCAGGGCACTGGCATCAGAGATTCCCCGTGCTGTCAGCAGAGGGGAGTACCTCGGAGGGTTGCTCAGCCCAAATAAAACCTGAATTTGGCTGTGATTCAAGCACGTATTTCAGCTGCATCTCTCAGGTGTGCTGCTCCAGCAAGGTCATTCCGCCCCGGGGGAAGTCGCTCGTCCTTGTGTTGTGACAGGAGTTTCCCCGGGTTCCCTGACATCCGCTGAAGCACCTCCACTGCCAGCCCAGGGCTTCCCAAATCTACCGCCGTAAATATTTCACAGCGCCATTGCTAGAGCAGCATCAGAGCATGCAGCAACAGATGCTATCCAAACCCCATGTAAGCCTGCAGGAGACAGGGAAGCAAGGGGGGTGAAGAGGCTGGCCAGACGCTAGGAAATCCAGGAGCTTGGGATGAGAGAGAGAAGTGTGGGAGTTTAGCAGGGGGGAGAGCGGAATGAACCGAAAACCAGATCCCCCGGGGCACCCACGCTAGGATATGAAACCTTCACACTTCAAAGCCAAACTAGCAGTGTTCAAAGATCGGTTTTTGCAAGATATTACTGCAACCCATCGATATTCTACACCCAGTTGCAATGGGATGGCTACAGCCCAAACTGGAACACCTGTACATTAGTGCAAACACCTTTTATTTCTTACTGAGCAGATACAAGGAAGAGAAGCACAATGCCTTTCTAACATTCCACTATCCCTGACTCCAGATGACCTCTTCTCGGGGAGAGCTAAAGAAAAAAGGGCTTGTAATGCAGACTCATGAATGCCCAGATAAAAATCTTTCCCCATTCCTCCCACATGGTTTAATCACTCCGCACAATGCAACAGCTGGCAGCCTAACACGCACCAGATGTGCCGGGAATATGAAAGACAGGAGGAAGGGAGTGGTGGAAATTAGGGGGGAGAGGAGGGGGAATCTGTATTTTCTCATCACAGACTCCTGGATGTAGGAGATTAAGCTTTCTTGATTTATGGGCTCAGAGGGAGCATGAAAATCTTTCCGACTTTCCACATCTGCCTGGGGAGGGAAAGGAGAGCGGTGTCTGGGGGCTGTGGGAAGTCCTGAGGCTGCTCACGGAGTTGCAGGAACGAGATGGGCTCATGTCTCAGCAGAAAGGCAAAGCCCTGAATTTTCCTCCCATAAATTCAGCTCTTTGGAGCTCTGCACAAGGTGCACGAGGCCACAGAAGGGCAGGGGGAAACCACATGAGAAGACATGTTCTAAATCCGGAGTGTCAGAAAGGGAGTGCAGAGCAAGTAATGAATTAGTGCAGGGTGGAAGGGGGAAATTTGAGCTGGGAAATAAATCTTAATTGTAGAATTAAAAGGGAGCAAAAACCCAAAAGGAGGGGAAGAGAGGCCGAGCTGGCTCAGCTGAGGGCGGTGAATGGCCAGACACCCACCTGTAAGGCTGATCTGACCTCACAGACCTCCCTGAGAGACTCCCAGAGATTTTGGGGGCAGGATTTTCCCACCTCCTGCCAAACACTATCCTAGACATTGTTTGCCAAACAGGTCACGGCAGACAGATCTGTACGGCACTACCACAAACCCTCCTTACCGCAAAGGGTCCTTCTCTAGCAGACGTTCCAGAGAGCCTGAGAGTGGGGCAAGGGCCCCAACACTGCAACCGAGGAGCAGAGAGAAGGAAACTGAAACCACACTAAATCACTTCCCTTCTCTGTGCCTCTGTTTCTTTCCCACTTTGCTCCGTGGAGCCTGCAAGCTCTGTGTGGCAGTGGAGCCTTCCAGGAGACACACGTGGGCTGCCAAGCACAACACGGCCTTGTTCTGAAGGGGAGGGGGTCTGCTACCACAATGCCAATATTAATAACGGTAACGAGAGCTGCAGTCCCATCGCCTCCCTAACGAAGGAGATTCTCCAGCTCAGGGCTGCTGCCTAGAGGGAGCGGGGCTGGAGAAACCCGCGTGCTGCTTGCCTTGTGCATAAACAGAGGGCTCAGTCTCCGGATCATCGGCTTTTCTCCGGCATGGCAATCCGTGTGAGTGCAGAAACACCAATATTTTGTGTGCTGCAAACAGGTGGGGGGGAGGGGATGCTACAGAGGGGAAAAAAAATTAAAAAAAGGAACCACTGAGGAAGTGAGAGCTCTCAAAATGAGGCAGCAGCTACGTTTTGAAAGGCTATTTAAAGCAACCAAGAGAAAAATGTCACCAGAATAAACCTGCTGCCCCAGCTGGAGGTGACAGTCTGATGGGGAAACTCCTGCCTCAAACCGGAGCCAGGAGAAGTGAGCCCAAGTCGCGGGTACCCAAGCGCAGGCATGCACACACCTCCTCCCCCCGGCACTCGCTGTCCCCCGAGGGACTGTACCTGTTTCCTGGCCTCTCTGTGACACTGTGCAGCACCCAAGCTCTTCATTCATTAATTTATTTATGGGAAATCAGAAGAGCATCTCTTTGCCTCCTGATTGGCGGGATGAGCTCCTAGAGGGAACCACTGATGGAATACAGAAGGGGTGGGGGAGGCTGGCGCCGCATCGGAAACACAGCGCGGCTTTGCCCTGGATTAAACTACTGGCGAGGGGAAGCAGGGAGGACACGAAAGAGGAACAATGCGACACGAGCAGGAGCTCCTCCAGCCCACGCACCACAGGGCGATGTGCTGCAGCAGCCACGCAGGCAGGCTGTCCGCCTCGGCTGCCTTCCCACGCTGGATCACGAGGGCAGAGTCTCTCCATCAGGAGCTCTGGGCACAAGCTACAGCGTCTCCCTGTCGAATCACTCACAACCTTTACCATGTCCCTTCCCTCAGCCTCGAGACCTGGCAGCACTGTGCTGCTCGCTTTGGAGGAGGAGGTAGGAGACAGTGATGGGCTGAAGCCCCTACTTTCAAGTCCCTGATATCACTGGCAAATTCCCACTCCTGTCAGGACAAGGGATGCTAAAAGGCTCAGGGATTCTTACCTCAAATATCCATGCTGAGACATGCTTTGATTAGCAGGGGTAATCATCAGCCTTCCCCCACAAACCCCCACCCTGACTGTGAATCAGCCTGAGCCAGGCACAGCGCAGAGGTTCCCAGGATCTGTCAGCTCCAGGCCAGTCCTGGGTCGATGCCGAGAGTTCAAATAACAGCAGGAAACCTGGAAAATCTCCCTGCCTCCAGCAGGATCTGCAATGGCCAGCTCTTCGCCCTGCTGAGCTCCCTCTCCAGCACCTGACTGGGAGACGGTGGGTGCGGGGAGACCTTGGCATCCCCGGCTTAGGTTACAAACCCCAGATGTCACAGCCCAAAACACGTAGCATGTGTGAGTGTGTGTCAACAAGTGATCACGATGGCTGCAGCTGGCAGAAGGAGGCAGCTGGGGTGGGTTGCAATCCTCCAGATTTACTGCAAGTGCAGAGAACGGCAGGACGGCTCCCCAGGGGCATTTGCAGGGGGAGGGGAGAGGAACGCTGTTCTGCTGCTCGCTAACCCCCATCCCCGGCACCAGCTACACGGAGAGATCCCAAGCGTAGAAACTGCCTGAGTTCGGCTGGCGGTGGGTGACTGCAGAGCCCGAGCAGCCCTGGCTGCCAAGACTCACTGGAGAGCAGCCCTCCCCTGCTCCAGCCCCGCTCTGTGAACGCCGTCTTCCCAACAGGAGCGTTACCAGTCGGCAGCGATTTGCAGCTTTCGGATAGATCACGTGAAACAGCCAGAAACGGTTATAACCAGAAACTACTACCCAGAGGGGATGTTTTCTGCCTCCCTCCTGCTCCCCCAAAAACCTGTAGGAGCTGGAAGCAGCCGGCATGAGGAATGAGAGCCTATATCCAAGCGCTCTACAACATCCGCTCTCCACAATCCTCCCCAATCCATCCAAAAGCCCTAGCACCACTGGGGGATTTTCAGGAGGTCAGCTGCTCCGCATGCTCTCTGGAAGGGACACCCCTGTACCCCACGAGCAAGGCCTCCTGCCCCTCTAAGGCACTTTTCAGAGGCAGGAGGGGAGCTCACAAGAGGTGTTATGAAGAGTTGTTTGCACACTGTGAATTCACACCCTAGTTTCACTTTCCGGTGTAGACAAGAGCTGAAGCCACCGCTGTGTTTTCAGTTATGTTTATCCCCCTAAGCAGCAGAGCGAAGGCAGCAAGAGCACAGACAGAACACGGAGGCCTGGTTGAGTCCATGTGTCAGATCTTAACGGTATTTAGATTCCTAGAAGACACAGGGAAGCACTCAGTGAGATGTTCAAAAATCTGGCAGAAGTCAGAGGTCTAGCACAATTGATTTCAAGAGGAAGACTGAAACCACATCAAAGGATCTTCTTCATAAACAGTTCAAGAGGGAAGAACAGGGTGGACGACGTATTAGGTGAAAATTGGAACTGAAAAAATAAATCTGGATTGCAAAATTAAAGAAAAATGCGAACCCAGAGGCCAGGCTGCCTGAGGGAACAAGGAAGTGGGATATACCACTGTTCCTCCAAAGCAATGAAACAGTCCCACTGCTGTCAGCCTAACCTGAAGTAGCTTGAGAAGTCCTACTGATTTTCTGTACAGCTCTGAAAACCCATTATTAAAGGGTCGCTGAAAGTTTCAAAGGACTTTGGTAGCAACACCAGACGCAGGGGCACAGATGTCTGTAGCCCCAGACTCCTTTTAGGCCATGAAAACTGGGAGCAGACTGGAGCATGGCTTCAGGTCCTGTAACAACTCTCCATGGCCAGGTCCCCAGTGCCCAAGGAGCAAGCGGTGCCAAGGGCCCTTCTGCTGATTTGTCGGACTGATGCTCCTGCTCCGAAACGCTGGGTGCTGCTCAGTGCCTCCAGTCCCACCCCTGCTCCGGCACAGCCTGCACACCGTGCCGGGAGCCTGGGACTCGCTGGATGCAATGCTGCTTTGGCAACGTTGCCAGCAGCATGGCGAGCTGGCAGCATGGGGCTGGCAGGGACATCAAGGGCTGCTCCAGCCTCCCACGGCTCCGGGCCAGTGTCCTCTTCCCAGGTGCCTGGACACGACCATCTGCCCTCTCTGCGGCAGGTCACTGAGCTCTGCTCTCACCCAGCTGCTCCCCACGGAGGACTGGGGGCTGTGCCACCTGCAGGGATTATCCCTGGGGAGTTTATGCTCCAGTTCATTGAGGAACTTGGAGAAAACCATGGAGGCGATAAATTATTTGCCCAAGATCATGCAAGTGGTAAGAAAGGAAACAGACCCCAGCTCTCTTCACTCTAACCATGGCACAGCAGGCACTGGCAATGCTCTTTGCGCAGTCACACGTCAGCTTTTCTTTGCTCCATCTACTCACTCCCCAGTACACTCTACTGGGATGAGCTGTACCAGTCTAAGACCCAGAAAGGACAAAGATGGTTTTAGCTTTGAAGAGGAGACCTGTTTGGACACGCTACATTAATGTGTCTCAAGGTTTTACATTAGTCTAACCTGTGCAATGTCATACAACCACCCCCTGAGGGGTTTGGGGCGATGTTGTAGCAGCTCTTAGATTTGATCTGGAGTGGGTACCTTTGGTTACAGAGAGCTTGAACAATGCTTTGGGATCTATGCACAAAAAAGCAAGGGAAATACAGTCTCTATTATGGGGATTAATAATAAGTCCCTAGGGTAACACTAAAACTCTGTCACTCAAGCACAGCTCCAGTAATTAGGATCTCCTGAATTTTAGCTTACAAAGAGTTGAAAGCTGCCTGTAAAACTGAATTGCACCCTTCCCTCCTTATTTATTAAGGTCTGGCAGGGCTTTGGAGGAGACAGTGGGTAATTGTCTAACAACCACACTGGCTGGCCAAGAGTCAGGTTTTGGATTTCAGTTCAGCTTGAAAATAATCTTCTTAGGCCATCAGTTCCTGACAGCTCTGTTAACTGGGTGAATCTGCTGTTCCCAGCGCTGAGCTGCCCTAACGTGAGTACAGGTAGATGAAGTGACTGCAGTTGAGAGGCTGTTCCTCCACTCTGCCCCGCTGTAACTTTCTGCGTCTCCCAGTGAGACCAGCTTTGCCATTTTAGCTCTGACCTACATCTCCTCCCCGCTTCCAGACTTGGCCTCACACGGCACACGGAAAAGCCTCTTCAGTCCTAACCCAAAGCAACCCTGTGCTGACTGGTAGCAGCTTTCGCTCTCCCAGACTGGCCCTGCAGTGCTTCTCACATACGCAGACACTGCTAGCCTGTGAATTGCTCATTCCCTGCCATGTTAAGGACACCCAAGCCTTTCCAAGTAGCATTTCTGTGCACAAAAGGACATTCCTGGGACAAGCTGTTTATTTGTTCTAGCAGGAGGTTGGCCCTAGCCCTGCACTTACACCAGCATAGCACTGCTAAGGAGTCGCACTCATTTACATTCCCACTACAGAGAGGAGAGTACAACTCCAAAGGTCTGGGAGCTGGAGTAACCTCACTTGTTCCCTGACCCTGAACAACTGCAAACTTGGCCTTCACCTTGCTGAGCACAAGCTCGAAGCAACTTCCACTATGTCTATGCTGCACTACTGGAGTTTGGAGCTGGCACGAATGACAGAAAGCTCAGGTCTACCCTGATGTACAGCCAGGAGCAAGAGCCCACAGCAGCAGCACGGTTTCAGCAGTGAATAGCAGAAATACACTGATACCCTGACTATGCCCCACCAGCCCTGGGCACTGCGCAGACAAACCCACACAAGGGACATTTTCCCAGTGGGGACCAAGACTGCATCTACACCTCAGGAGCAAAACAGGCCGCCACATTGCACTCCTCTGCCTGAATTTTCCTGAAAGAGAGCTGAATAGGAACCAACCTCCTGTTGTCTCCCACAGAAAAGCCACCTCTATTATGCACTTTGAAGATCTTAGGTGCTTCTAAGATTGCCTGCTGGATTCTTCCCTCCTCAGCAGTATGAGTTTGTCTAATAAGGGGTAACACCTCCTCCCACAAGCCTTGCCTTGCTTATCCACCTGCCTGGGCTGTTTACAATGTGAGAACAGAAAAGGCCAAAGCACGGATATTTATCTATTCTGCGAGAGCTTCAAAACCTGAACATCTGCCACAACACAGGCTGGCACTTCCAGCTCAATCACCTGGGAGTTGAGCTCCATGATTGTGTCGTCAGTGCTGACAGAAACCGAGACAGCTGCCGCGTTGAATTCCCAAGGTGGGCATCGAGGTGGGGAGTCAGCCAGAGAGCGCGAGAATGTGACGAATCGGGAGCCAAAATAAAGGGACAAAAGCCCTTTCTCTGCTCTTCCGCCCTCTCCTCCTGCTTCCTAGGAAAGCCAGCAGCGATGGTTTCCCACTGCCCTCCCTCCCCACCCTGCATTCACATGGGTTTGGTACCTTCTCTGCAGCGACGGGCACCGAGGATGGGGTAAGGCTGGTGGGAGACTCCGGACGTTTTTTGTGCTTCTGTTTAGGTCTTTCTTTGTCCTTCCGACTCTGGAAAAGAAATCAGAGAGTATGGGAAGGCTAACTTTTCCTCTGCTGAGAAGAGCAGTTGTAAGGGAAAAGAAAGGAGGGTGTGTAGGGGTGGATTTACAACCATACATTCATATTCCTCTTTCCTTCTCCACCCATCCACACAAGCCCAGTATCCCTTCCCCCACATCCCAGCTTCTGGCTGGAGGCATCCCACTATCTCTACCCCAGCTGCAGCCAACATCTGGAGTGCAGAGTATCAACAGAAGACCCCAGATCAGTTTATGGTAAGACGATAGGGAAGGACTTAACAAGCTCTGGCTGATTTCGAGAAACCTGAGCTTTCCCCTCGCTATTTCCCCACAGGGACTCTCTGCCCCCTTACCCTCGCTCTCTACCTCCTTCAAGGGTTTCTCAGATCCACCCAGTACAGAAAACAGGAGAATCTTGATTTCAGCATGTGTTGCACGTGCACAGGTAGAGATCAGTCAGTGGAGCTCTCAGAACCTAGGCTTGAGCCTGGAGATCCCCCACATCTCCCCTGCCAATGGAGTCAGCTGGTCCATCTCTGCTTACAGGAGCCAGACTATTTTGTCTGATTTCTTCATCCTGGGTTTTTTTCTTGCATTAAAACTCCAGAAAAATGGGATTCTTCAAATTGCAAAGAAAGGGAAAACCATGGCCTGAGAAAAACTGAGTCTTGCCCACCCTGACTTTATATTCTCTTGAGGAACAGACTAACCGAGGAGGCCATTCTCATATAGTGCTGTTGGGCTGTTTGTGCTAAAACCAAGATGTTTTCAGTGAAAGGACTGAAAATGTAGGCCTGTGTAACCTCCAGTCAGTGGGGTCTGAGGATGCCCCAGCCAGCTGGCATACAAGGATGGATGGATAGAAGAGCATGCTCCACCACACACTCCTGCTTCCTCCCTGTCTTCCTCAGCTGCAGGCTCCCATGGGGATACAGCTGCCTACAGGAGCTTTTCCATGCTACCAGCGTCACCTGAAGATGTGGCCATCTTCGCTGAAGCTGCAGAAACGTCTGTGCTCAGTTCCAAGCTTCCCAGTGTGCTCACTGACATGTGGACCAAGAGACCTGAGACACCTGCATGAGATGCAGGGCTTAGACAAATCCATCCTCTTGTCTCTCACACCTTTTTGAGGGAAGGAATGGCTGTTCTGGTACAACTCCCTCATGTGAGCGTTTTATTCCAGAAGCTGAAGTCCTCGGTCTGGTCCGAAGGTGCATTCAGAAGAGTCACATGGGAATTCAGTGACTCTCCAGAAAGATGCCGATTGCTTCCTCGCGCAGGCAAAGCCCCGAGGCTACAGCTGCCAGCATGTGCCCAAGGTGGGATGCTGTTGGGGAAGATGCAATCGCAGCAAATACATGAGCTCCGCCGGTGGTTTTTGGGAGGGAGAGAAGGGAGTGGAAAAATTAGCTTAGGAAGCAATCTGCTAAATGGAAAAAAAGGAGGCTGGAGGAGGGAGAGGGCAGGAGGAAAAGGCTGGAGAAGGCAGGCATGAGGTGAAGCGGAGGTGAAGCCAAAGCGCTGCAGAAATCAGCCACTTCCAGTGTGGGTTTGGCTGAATTTTCAACGCACTCAACAGGGAGGCCCACGCAGCCACCAGTGACCCTGCTGCGATGCCATGGAAGCTTTCACTGGGATGAGCTGGGGAGAAAAGGAGGTAAATCCAGCCTAGAGCATTACCGCACTTGCCGAGCGCCCAGCCAACACTGCCAGTTCCAGCATTTCATCACTAGAGTCCTGGCGTTCGGCGTTTCTCTTCAAGCCTCTGTTGCCAGAGCTGCAGGATTTTACAAGAATCTTGTTTTCTTTTTTTTTGTTGTTTTTTTTCCATTTCTTTAATACATATTTCCAGCTTTGGCACTGAACAAGGAAAGCTTGAAAATGTGATTTCTACAGACTAAGTGTCGAAAGACATATTAGCATGAAATCTTTACTAAATCTCATAATGTTTTAAATACATGAGGGCTTCCTGTGCTGTAAACTCTGTCGGTGTCTTGTGGGTCTTCCAGGAGAGGAAGATGGGGAAAGTGTGGCCCCGTCAGTTCAGCAGCTTCTCACAGGCCACATGCACATCGCTGTTCGTTACTCCAGGAGTTGTAACAATTTGCACTCACTTAATAGCACGCAGCAGAGAGTTTCAATGAGCTGAAGAGAGGATTTTAATATCTACGTCTCATTTTATAAATGGGGGAACCAGGGCACGCGGGAGAAGAAAACTTGCTAAGATTTCACACAAAGTCATCCAAAAATGCAGAAAGCAAAGTCAGGGACCCCCACCCTCCCTGGACACACGCTCGCCTACTTGCAGATGCTGCCAGTGCCACTCACGGAAGCCAGAAATGGAAAACGGGAGCCAGACACCTCATTTTGCCAAATAACTGCGCAAACCCTGGTCCTTGAAACACTCTGAATACCACAAAGCTTATTCTTTCATTTGCAGAGCCCGAATCCCAAATGCATTTAAATCGTGAAGTTGTGACAGGAGGGGATAAGATACAACGCTGCACACGCCAGCAAGACAGCCCCGTCATGATTTAATTTCACGTATCGTGGTCAAGATGAGACGAGGCAGAGCCAAGCCATTTTGGCTAACGACAACGAACCCACATGCACACCCAGACACGCGTGCACGTGCGTGGGGAAAAGCAGAAATGTCCCGATTGGCACCGCAGCGAACCATAAAACCTCCCACAGTTTCCTTGTGATGGCAACCACCAAACTCACATCCTCCGGCTTCAAAATCCTGGCTGTCTCCCATCTGAAAAATCTCCCTTTGCTGCCGGCAGCACAGAGTCTACAACTGCTAACTGAGCAGTCCCCTGGTTACATGTAGGAGTGCGTACATATGTACATATTCAGCAAGAACCCAGCCTGCACAATAGGGACCAGATTTCTGGAATGTCTCAGCTCCCATTTAGATGCTTGAATAAATGGTCAGGTTTTCCAAAAAGCGAAATGCTGGGTATTGAGCTCTTCTGAAGACCTGATCCCGACTACATGTGCTGAGCAACTGTGCGCCAGCTATTTAGAAAAATCTGTCCCACAGAGACCAGCCTTCATGCTCTGCTCAAAGGATGCACTGAAACCAGAACCACTGCAGCCCGACACCAGGAACTCAGCGGC